TCAATAGCATTCTTATAGATTGTAGACGACCAAGAAGGTAAATTCAGTTTCTATTCCAGTGAAAAGTGAAGGAGCAGAAGCCACACACAACCAGCTCTCCCTAAAGCACCATGGATAAATATAATTATAATTTCTCTGAAAAGATTCATATGAATGTCTATTTTTTCCTCAGTTACTTAAAAACTTTAACTGTGCTATAAAATTTAAATTTTACAGTTGTGTTGTACTGATAAAATATTGAAAATTTTATGTTGCTTTGCATTTTTGTTTAATATTTGTTGAATATTAAACAAAACAAAATTCTATTCACCATAGAATAGTTATGAAATTTCATTTGTCAGCTTGAACATAAAATTCTACTGTATTTCTCTGTCACTAAAAAGAGTCCACTGTATGCAGATGAGAAATTTGCTGATGTCTATGTAGTGGATTTCTGGTCATGTGGAAAACTGTTACACAAAAAATAAAATAAAATTTATATGATTACTCTGTGTATTTATATATGGTTTAATGGTAAAATTTCATAATTAAGAGGAAACCAACTTTAAAATGTAAACAAATTGAAATTTGTATAACTCCAAGTATAATATTTATTCCTCATAAATAAAAAAAAAAAAAATATTCAAATTTATTGAGGTCCAAAAATATTTTGTAAGGTGCTTTACTTTTATGACATAGAAGTTCATTTTTGTCCAGTTTTTTTATACCCACATGAAAAGCAAAATAAGGAAAAAAAAAAGGGAGAGGGGTTTTTTTTTAGCAGGTGTTTTTAATTTTAAAGGGACAAGGGTTGTGGCAGGCAGCAAATAAACAAAAAGTAAATATAGACAACAACAAAGGGAAAATGCAACAAAACTCAAAGGTTTTCCATTACATTACCATTTTAAACATTTTTTTCATGCTTATCAAAAGCTTAATAATCTAACTAATAACCACTAGTAGTTGTGAACTGTAAAAACATAAAATTAGGTCTTCTCTATAAATACTATTTATTGAGAAGACCTAATTGTTTTGTATGGTATTTATTAAATACCATACGATTTTTGAGAAATTATTTCCTAAAAAAGGAAACCTTGTACTCTAAATATTAATTACATATTCTCTATTTACTCTTGAATCAAGTATTTTATATATAATTTTGTTTACTTCTTATATAGTAATATATGCCACACCTGTCAAAATAAAAAGTTTATCTAAGATGATATTTGGGTAATTATACTAATTTGACTGATAAGGTTTTATCATTCAATTTACATCCTTCCTAGTAAAAAAAAGTATTTTAATTCATATTAGCAAAAGTATGCAACGTCCACTTTTTCTTTTATCTATTCATCAATTTAACTCCCATATTTTAATGATTTATTAGTGATTTCTTTTGTTGTTTTTGCTATATTCATTAAAAAAAGATTATGATCCAAAAGATACTTTCATTTTTTAAATTAAAACTACTAGAAAAATTGTCTACAAGTACAGCCATTTACTGCTATACCATTGATAGTGCACTACATGAAGCTAAAGATAAACTCTAGTGACCCATTAACTATATGTAAGTATATCATGTGTACTTTAGAATATGTCAAAGCCAATCTTCTTTAAAAAAACATTCTTAGATAAGTAAATATATGCAAGACAAGTCCATAGAAGTGACTATAATGTGAATGCCTTGGGTACCATAGTCTGATAAGGGAGATTTCATTTCAAAATCACTAACTTTAATCAATGCTTTTACTTTTTGGTAGCATTAGCAACACCAGTAGAGGAAGTCGAACTGGACTACAGAGTTCAAATTTTGACCAAATCTGTTTCCTTCATGACAAACTAATGCCCTTATAAAAAGGGCATAAAATCTATCTTTCTCCATCTATGGACTAAGAACAGAGCAATTGGAGCTCTTTAGTCTTGGAAGGGTATCTGTCTAAATAAACAACTTTGAATTCAGAACACCAGCCCAAAGAAGGATAGGCTCCATTAGAATATCTTACCTTAGATACACCCACTGCTGCTATGGCTGCAGTACAGGTGTTGTCCCTAATGGCTTATGAAACATGATCATGATATTAGTGATCATTTTTACTTTAATAATTATAAATCATATAATAAATATATAATTAGTTGTTCTAATCATGAGTCCAAAAACAGTGATACTGATAAAATGTTAAATGATCAGTTAAATATTATGCTTATTTTGCTGAATTACTGATGCTAATTTGTTCATAATAAAGCACAAGAAAGAAAATTTGGCCTCATTGAATTATCATAAATCCCATAACCCATTATGGTCATAGGGGCACCACATGTACTCCAGTCATAGTAGCAGTGGTCTACCTTGGGCAAAATAGCCCAGCCCTCTCCAGGCTGGTTTGAATTCAGAGTTTTCCTTTTCCTAGACTATATGCCAATCAAGGCTATAGACCCCAGTCTACCCTGCTATTTACCCATAACTGGGAGGGGAGAGAAGATACCTTTCTCAAGGGTATTAGCACGTAAGTGAATGTAATGAACTTAACTGGAATTTGAACTTTGTTCTCTGATCCCTCAATCCAAGCCACTATATTACTGTGCTTTGAATTATACAAGCTGCATTGCCTACTTCCAACTAGTGTCAAACTATAAAACTGCACATTTGAAGTCAAATGTCATTCAAGGTTAAGTATGTTTAAGAACCCCTTTTAATTGGGGATTAAATATTACATATAGTTACTCCCAGTCAAATGATAGAGGAATTTTAACTGAATAAGTGCAAAAGTATAAATAAAAATCCATAAAATAAACATATCTAAAAATATTAAAATTTGTCTAAAACTTATCTTACTACAACTGTTGAGTTGACCAAAGATTGTTCAATTTATTAAGTAAATTTTCTAAGTAAGCAAAGAAACTTTTGGCCATCTCAATATATATATATATATATATAACAATAAACGTGCAATCAATTTACAAATACATGAATTATTCACACAAAACTAATGCAAAGGTTAATGATTTAAATGGCGAGACATCCATCATCGCAAACAATTCAAATAGTATACAAAAACCTCCAGATCCGTTATGAATGAATTGATCCTTGTTTATATAAATTTCTGCCGTATTAGTTATTTTTACTACAAGCTTTCGTCTGTTCCTACAGACATCTTCAGGTATAGAATAGATGTTGTTTTTTTGTTTTTTTTCTCTTAGTAATAAGAGGACAACGAAAATATATGTGTTGTTGTATCCGAAAATGCTATTGAAAAGAGTTATTGGTTTTGGAACGCGCCAAAGCAACGCTGAGTTTGATTTTAAATTTTTAAAGTGTTTGCGTTTATACCAAATATGGTGATGAACAAATTTTTTACTGGTAAATTTTTCTGTCAAAGTGGCATGAACTATATTGTTCAATAATTAAAGTAATGTCACCATATTTGATGGATGTCTCGCCATTTAAATCATTAACCTTTGCATTAGTTTTGTGTGAATAATTCATGTATATATATATATATATATATTAAATCAGTCTGAAGGGATAAGATCAATAAGATGATTTCTGTTTTTACCAATATAGTCCATACATTAAACAATCATCTTGTTTATTTTGCACTTTTTATTATACCTTAAAGCTTTTTGCAAAAATAATTCAAATTATAAACTGTATTCTCATCCCCCAATTTTTTTTTTTTTTTTTATTAGGTAATTCTGAATAAAGTGGTTGACATAAAAATGAAAGTTGGCTGCATAATTCTTTTTTTTCTAAATAGTTCTAAATTTGATTCATCTTTTGAACTGAAGAATATTTACCAACAAAAACTTTGAGAAGCTTAGTTTTATATCAAAAATCTATTTAAAAAAAAAAAATAAAATAAAATAAACTCCTTAAAATGAAGAAAAAAAAAAAAAAGCATTAAAAAGCAATTGTATCCTATGAGGAGCAACAAGAAAAAAAAAGCTAAATTAAGTAAAAGAAAATCAATATTTCTAATAATAATGTTGATTACAGCAATAAGTTAAAATTTACCCAACCTTACCAACTTATATAATTTAGTAATTACTTCTAATTATTATAGCTTTCTTTTCATACCGACATTATGAACTGTCAAGTATGTACATAAAGTGTTCCTCTTATCACAACCATAATGACAGCTTTCAAAAATAAACTAACACAAAAGTCAGCCATCTCATAAAATGTATTATTACAAAATAAATAATTATTACTCCAGCACATGAAAATTTTATAAACATAATTATTAGGCAATTTGATTGATATCAAAAAATATTCTTAAAATATTTGATTGCATTTAAGCACTGGTTTGTGTTTTGTAATATCTGAGAATGCATTTTTAAATTAACATAGACTTAGGCCATATGTTACTTTAAAAATGCATTCCAGAGCAAATTATTTGCAAATATTATTTACATTTGGATATATATACTCATTTTTATTGTTATTATCACATTTTGGCCATAGTGCTTTCTACCCTTCTTCAAGTGTCTGTTGATCCAGGTAATCTTCAAAGAATTTTAAAGAACTTTTGTACTGCCCAGTTATTGCTCGACCTGCTTCCGGAGTTTAATCAGACAGGAATTATAAGAGATTTACCTAATACAGTAACATAAGGAACTATTTTTGTTGCCAATATATTTCCGGTATAATTCAGTAGTGAACTATTCATAAAGTAAATAGTAATTCACTAGAATGCCAAGTAAGTATTAAACCACCAAAGTTCTTCAAGATAATTTCTATTCTGCAGCTTGAACTGGAAATTTCAAAGACATTTTTATAAAGAATAAAAAAAATATAGATTAACAACATTAAGAGAAATTATATTTACATAAATAAGGCTTTAAAATATGCAACCCATTTTAAAGATATTTCTTCTCTTCAATATTTTTTTTATTTGCACATTAAATTTTGACTTTCTCTGAACAAAGTAGAGAGAATTAAATGGAAAACCCTGTGCCCACCTGCAACAACCACATCAACAGAAAAAAATGTACAAAACGTGCAGAGACTTGAATGTATTCACCTTGCTGGCTCGATGTCGACGCTGACAGGCCACGAATGCTCTGGGAGTACATACTAACTGAACTCATGTGGAAGTCCAGACACTCCTGTCGACAGCGGTTGTGAACTTCCACCAACTGGTAAAGGAACAATAACAACACATCAATAATCAACATTTTCTCATCAGTACCTTTTTATTATATAGATACATAAAAAATATATTCTTATATCAAAACGATCAGAACATGATTTGCTCAATATTCAACAAAAATATTATAGAATATAGCACAGATTTCTAAATTTGAGTATATGCAAGACTTAAAAAGAAAAAAAAAAAACATCAAAAACATCACCTGTATGACTCGTATGAGAACTACTCAGTCTTATAGGAAGTCAAGTGCTTGTCTCAGAAGCCACTGAAAGTGAATTCAATTCTTGCTAAGTGTTCTAAAATTGTAGTGTTGTGCCAAAGTTGGGTTAGAGTCATATACAATAATGGCATCCCAAATTTCCAGGAACCAGTTCTATGAAGGCAGGTAATCTTAAGAACTTATTCTGCTTTTCAATCTGAGAATGGAAAATCACTTGATACTATCAAAACTAAACTATTTTGATAATAGAAAACATTTATTTATTAAGATATTTCCAGATTAAGATTCATATTTCTGATCAAAAGTAGGATGCTTTTTAACTTGAGTGTCACCAACTGTGTTAAGATTTCTTAGCCACATTTGAACTGAATTGCTGCAGTCCCAAAAATCGCTTTCACCCATTTTTTTCTAGACAGCTACCATTACCTATGTCTTTCTTTTACTTTTTCTTCTCCCCCACTGACTGCTGATTATTATTGTAGTAGGGGAAATGTGTCTATTATAGTTTCACTATGTGCGAGCATAGAGGTAACTAACATTTTACCTAGACCATTGGCTATCAATATACAAGGTTATTTTGGATAATCCAACAACCAGTTCACTAAGCTTTTATAATTTTAAGAATCAGTTTGTGCAAACTGGTAGGATGCTACCACTGCTTATATACCATATGAGATTTACTTTTCTTTTTAAATACAGCTCCAAAAAAATCAGTAAACTAATACTGACACACAAGTTGACAGACTAGTTCCCAAAAGTGCCCATAAGGGAATATGTGATTAAATTAGGATTACAAAAAAGAATATTTAAAAATTATTTACAAGTACAGTTGAATGATTACTTGAATATTATGCTTTTTCCTGAATATTCCTTGCCAGATTATAAATGCATTGTGTCCTATTATTAAAATATACCTATGTAAGTATAATGGTTATTAATTTCTTTGGGAAAGGCATGAATCCATCTCTTCTCCCTCAGGCTTTGAATTAAATAGCAGAGTAAACTGGACTCTCAAGCCTTCAGTGACAGCCAATCAACAAAAAAGTCAACTGTGAATTCATGCCCATAGAAAAGACAATAGGGAAACCAATCCCTTATCTTTCTCAAGAATCATGGTAATTCATAGATAAAAACAGAAATAGGAGAGTCATGACCACCTATGTCCTCAAGAGAGATGACATTTTTAAAAGGAAATCTAAAAGAAAATACTGCCAATTGTTATTCCCTAATAAAGTCTATACATGAACAAAATGTAAAACAAATCTTATGACTCATCTGCTTCTACTTGAGACAAGCAAATTGACTTCAGAATTCAACATCTTTTTAATTAGAACAATAAAAATCAATATAGTAATATGATCAGTTGCAATATTAAAAAGCTTAAATATTTTAAAGAGATTTCCAAAACACATGCATACACTTTTAAGTATTTCTTTACAAAAAGTATTAATTTGGTGATGAAATTTGATTGTTTATATTATTTACAATTAAATTATTGTCCTCATCTTTGTTGTCATCATCACAATGCTTCAGCTGTTGTACTGTCCAGCCTTCATGAGGTGCTTGTCAATCTAGTTAACCTTTGGGGAATTTCAAACTGAACACTTTATTCAATCTACAAGGTAGATTATTCTCATTCTTCATGTGTAAGGATATTTCCTCTAGTTCTTATTTAGTATTGTTCAGTTATTGTTCACCCTGTTTCCAGTGTGTAAGTTTGCACTACCTGGCCTAGGGATTGAATTCATAATTACTATGTCACTTAATTCACAAAATGAATATTTTAATTCACCAATCTTTTTTTTTTTCAGAAACTGACCCAGATTGATAAGCACCTGATGAAAGCTGGAGGGTACAACAGCTGAAACCTTGTGATGCTAACAACAAAGATGAGGACAACAGTCCAAATGTAGATAATGATAACGCCTCATGCCAGAAATTCAGACACAAGCTGGAATTGCTTTATTTTATAATTAACAATAAGCCTTTTGCAAGATGACATCAGATGAATACTGACCAACACTTTTCATCTTAACTGCATATCCAGGATATAAATACCAAATAGTCACTAATTGGATAGATGCCTCAAAACAGCTTATGGCTTGAAACACCTGATTTCTCTTAATTATCAACTTCAAAGAACAGAACTTATTTTATAAAAAAATATGCTTATTCTCAATCATTGTCAAAGCCTTGTACTAACTGATGAAACAGTAAAGGAATATTTATATTTACTAGCATAATAAAATTACCAGTCTGGGCACCCTGTGAGGATCAAACTCACGAGTAATGACATGCAAAACCAGGTTGCTAAATATTGCACCATAATCAAGGCACCCAAGGAATGTTTATAAATATTAGAACATGATTTCATTTAGAATTTCTCACACACACTTTTTTCTTTTTACAAATTAAAACTTTTTGTATGTGAATATATGATGGGTCATAAAAGTCAAGAGTGCCAATTTATATTTAGTTGTTTTACCAGAAGCCAGGAAGGTGATCCTTAATATAGAATTTCATTGGTCTTTAACCAAGCTTGTATGTATGTAGAGATAGATAGAAAGAGTGTGAATACAGTCCCCACACAGTGTTAATTTCTGTCAGTTCCACCCCTTAAGAAACTACCATGATAGTCTGATGATGTGGTGTTGATTTCTGGGTTTGTCTAAACTGTTTATACCTACCAGTACTATCCTCAATACATAGCAATTTTCACTAATAAATATAGAACATTCTAAACATACATTTCATGGCATATTAGGTAGGTACCTCCAATATTTTGCTGAAAAAACAGCATACCATAATGAAAAAAAAGACCCCAAACTTAATAAAAACAAAGTTTTGTCAAAGTATTTTTTTTTATAATTTTATTAAATTTTTAATCCTTTCTAGCACATTCAAAATCTTTGTTAAAAATCTTGTTTTTCTTGTGTTGGCAGCAGCACCAAAGATTAGTATAGGAAATTTTAGCATCTTTTTTGCAGAAAAAAATAAAACAGATTTTAAAATTCTTGCAAAAAAAAAAAAAAAAAAAAAAAAAAAAAATCAAATTTTAGTGAAATTTTCAGGATTTATTCACAAATGAATTAAATTACTTTTTAATTTTTTTTTTTTAAGAAAATCTTGGTAAAAATATTTTATTTTCACATCTGTTACTACTCTTACTTAATGAAATTTCCAGAAATTAAAATTCAACCAACTTCATTTTTATATTAGTTAAAAGTAGGACTACTTTGAGAATTTCAATCAATTTTTTTTTTTTTTTTTCAAACAGAAACACCATTTACTGAAAATATGCTCTGAATCATGAAATGAAAAATGCAATAAAACTAAGAAACTATTTAATTAAAAAAAAAAAAAAAAAAAAAAGCTTTTAATTGATTTTATGAAAAAGATTTAAGGAAATTATTGTCTTAGGAAAAAGTTTTTCAATGAATAATGAATTTTTACAAAATTTTTCATTTTTTTTTTTTAAATTTTAATTAGAATAATTTATTATTACATCGTAAAATACTGTATTAATTTTAGATGATATTACTAAGTAAAAACTATATTTACTAATAAATGCAAAAGTTTAGTAAACATGGCATTTTTTTATATACAGACAACCATACACAACATTATCAGAAAATAAGAGCAATAACTATAGTAAATTTACAGCCAAAAATATTTCAAATAAAACATTATGGAGAATATTTTCTCAAATTTTTAAGATTACCGAGTACTTAAAAATTATATACAAGAGGCACTAACATTAATTCAGTTACTTTTTTAATGCCTAAAGTCCCCATAAAACAACATTAGATAAATATCAATCTGTCATGAATTTGTCAAAACCCAGCATCTTAAATAAACAGCTACTGCCGAGTTGAAAAAAATGAATTTCCACAATATTTTAAATTTAAAATAAATAATTTTTTTTTTTTTAAATCAGATTAATTATACTTTAAATTAGCTAATGCTCCTCAAATAAAGTTTCAGGAAATTATTTTATTTTTTGAAGATTTTTTAATAAAGAGAATTACATTCTTTTTCAGTGGGAAAAAAAAAAAAAAAAAAAAAAAAAATTCCAATTTTTTAAGTTAGTTTTGAAATTTTGCTTATTGGAAATATTAAATTTAATTTATTAACTTGAAATTAAAAACTAAAAATAAAACCTAAAATAAAAACTTGAAGATTTTTAATTTATAAAAATTCATTTTAAACCTTCAATATTGCAAATTAGTGGGAGGTACCCAATGTGTCATTTTAAGTTACAATTAAAACCTAAAAACACTTGCACGTTATAAACAAAATTTTTGACATCACTCAAAACAGGTCTCTCTGTGCTGTGACAAAGAAATTTTCAAGAGTTAACATGACAGTCAATAAGCTTCAAAATTTAAAGACTGCAATAACAGGAATAAATTTTATCTCAGCAGTTGAATTTCCATACCAGTGTTTTTTGTTTGTTCCCCCCGCCCTTGTGATTTAAATTTTATAACTTAACTTTCTTCTTAATAACTTTCTTCCTTTATGTTTTGAAGATTTTTAGTAAAGAGAATTTTAACTTAAAAGGTGAGGGGACATAATACAGAATAGGGAGTGAAATATGCGCGCACACACACAAATGTATGTTTAGATATTCACACAGCTTATTCTAGCAGTCATCATAACAGAGTACACTGTGAAAACTGACCTTGCAATGACCTATGAAACTAAATTGCTAACCATCAGTCGCCCAAGTAAATGTATTTTGACGAATTTCTGGGGTTTCACTATAA